ATCCCCAGTACCAAAAAAAAAAAAAGAATCAGACTTATATACTTTGCCAAAATCCCACTATTACAGAAAAAAAATCTTATTTTTTTAAAAACAAGATAAAGATATAACAACAAAAACAGGAAGGAGTGCCAACAGTGGACCAGAACATTTCAAAAGTCTCAGAAAGGTAGGAAACAAAAAGATCATAATAGTCAATTAACCAAGGATCTAAAAACAAACCAAAAAAGCCTCAGCCTGAGATACTTGCAGAGTAAGTATGAGTCTTCCCTAGAAAGCCTCAGAGAAGCTTCAAGCCCAGGAATTAGTATATGCCCATCCCCCAACTACAATTAAATGATGCAAATATACAGTGCTATAATCTGGGTAAAGAACTGCATTCAAAAACAACCAGACAATTGGGCATGGTAGCACATGCTGTAATCCCAGCACTTGGGAGGCTGAGACAGGAAGATTGCCATGAGTTCAAGGCCAGCCTGGAATACATAGCAAGATCCTGCCTCAAACAAAACAGAACAAAACAAAACAACCCCAATCCTCCAAAAACAGTAACAGAAAAACTAGACAAAAATACGGTCTCTTTGAGGCCAGGGGTAGTGGCACACGCCTATAGTCCCAGCACTCAGGAGGCTGAGGCAAGAACACCACAAGTTCAAGGCCAGCCTGGTTAACACAGTGAGTTCAAGACTACAGTGAACTACACAGTGAGACCCTGCTTCAAAAAACAAAAAAACAAGGCTAGGGATTTAGCCCAGTGGTGCTGCCACCTGCCTCGAAAGTGCAAGGTCCCGAATTCGATCCCCGGTACCAAAAAAACCTCAACAAACCCAAAACCCAAAAACAAATACAGCCTCTTCAGGACCTAGACTTGAGACACTTGGAAAACAGTAACAACAGAAGAAGAAGTGGGGGGGAGAACAAAGAAGAAAGAAGATCTCTTAGAATCATGGGGGAGCTGATAGGCAAACTAGAAACTACAGAGAAGCTAGAGAAGCTAAGCACAATGCAGAGAGAAGAACAAAGCAGCCTGCAAAGCTGACACCGGTTCCTAGAGAGAAGCACCTGCCTCTGCTAACAAGGCAACCCCAGAGAGGTCGGCAGAGCCAGGAAGAAACAATAGACTGGCCAGCAGGGCAAGCAAACTGTAAAAACTATTGCAAACTGCAAAAACAGAATGGGGTTTTACTCTGAAAGTGACTTCTTCCACAAGGCAGGGGAGAGTTGGAAAAGAAATCCAGGGCAGTGCCTGCCATATGTGAGCCAGTTTGGGAAGAGGTTAAGACTGAACCACAGAACAATTATAGAGCAACTACACTTCAGAGTTTCTGGTGTCACCCTATCACATGGACTGGGTGGGAGATGGGCACACGAGACAGTTGCAGAGAGGGTGTGGGCTAGACATAGATCCCCCTAAAAGTTTTCTTTTTTTTATTTATTTATTTTTATCTAATTCTATTAAGTTTCTTTTACTCCTTAATAGGATCCTTTATCTCAATTTTCTAACCTCCTCCTCTTTTTA